GCAGCATCACAGGATTTACTAAGCTATGCAGGGTCAAACTGTTTTCACAATAAAAGTACTGAGAAAAAATGTCAAGCAACAGAGAATTTATCTTCAACAGAGAGGTAAGTTGTGGGGTTTTTTTTGTTTGTTTGTTTGTTTGTTTTTAATGTGCAACTCTTACAATGATGGGCAGCAGCCTTAAAATTGCCCAGAAAGAAGCCACCTCTGGCTGACTATCTCAGTTTGTGGATTCCAGCAGCATTAAGATTGGGTTTGAAACCCCTTTTTAGTTTTGAAGCCCCTTGCAGACCCACTCATTTCTTCCTTCCCTGCACGTATCAGCCTACACTGAAAACTTCCAGAACTCCCTTACAATTTCTCTTCTTGCACCCATTTCCTTGTTACTGTTTACATTTTTATCTGCCCATGACAGCAAATTTGCAGACCAACTCCTAGAGGCTCTGCAAAGAAAACCAGGATATAGTTTAGCACACTTATAGCATAGTTTGCATAGATAATAACTTCATTGCTGAGTTGAAAGTTGTTCAGAGAGTAGATAGTGACCTTAAGTTGCTCCAACTGGCTGGTGATTAAAACCTACACTTAAGATGGTAAACATAGGATGATGATGGGAGATCACTTTCAACTCTACAATGCTTTAGCAGCTACAGAAGAGATCAGCAGTTGTAAAGAGAAGTGGAAATGTCACACCAGTAACAGCTCTAAAATATATTGGGAAGGCAGGAGAAGGTGGTCCATGTAACTGATCAACAATGGCAAAATGAAGCATCTCAGCAGAGAAAACTGGCAGGCCGCCGCCCGAGGTAATACAGTTCACCTGCAGTAGTTGCTCCACATCTTTGCCATTTAACAGTTTATCACAGCAGGACACTGGATAAAGAATATTCATTAAGATTCAGGACACCAAGCTCTATAAAATAAACATTAGAAAATATATTCATTGAATGACTGAGAATTCAGCTTGGATCCATTTACAAAATGGAGGTAATTTTACAAAGCTCCTCGACTTCCAGCTTGTTGACAACCAGCTACCTGAAGAACCCCCTGTGCAATGAATGAAGGTGCAAATCAACAGTCAACATGCAGAAACTAATGCTGTAACTTTAAGGTTTTGCTGAGCTTTTCCAACATCCAGAATAATACCTCTTCTCCCTTATCTGGGACAATTATACCAAGTTCTGTTACACATTTTTTACTCAATATTATAAACCTAAATTGGTTTGAATATATTACCTGACATATCAATGTCAACAGTTAGGTGACCATCTCCAAGGAATTAATATAAATATTTAAGTCTTGCCAAGCCTTCATATGGGCTGACTTACTCTTTTGAATGAGTAAATATATATAGTGACAGTTAACAGACTTACTCTCTTCATTAAGACTCTTCAAGTTAGCATGTAACTAAGCATTAAATAATCCTCTGTACTTTCATACCAAAAATTCACCCCCTAAGACAAAATTATTTAAGTCCCTAGCCTGTTTTACAAGGGCTTTGCACTGGCTCCAGCTCCACTGAAAATAGTAACTCCTTCCCTTTTCCCCTGGTATCTACCAAAAGCCTCATACCTCCCCACACCCTACCCCATCAGTAGTCTACAGAATCAGGAATTTACAGTCCTCCAAAGAATTGTTAGTCCTGGGTACAAAGCCAGTTTGGGAAACATTTTCTTTGCTCCCCATCAGCCAAAACCCATTCACTTACTGAAAACAGAGGGAAACTTCTCTGGATTTCGCATCTTTGTATGATTAATAGTAAGAGATATGCTGGCAAGTAATAAGGACTGGAACTGAACCCACTTGAACATTTTCAGAAGACCTTAAAGTGCTGATAATCACCAGTTTAATGACCTGCAGACCACCTTCCTACCTTCAGAATGCACAACTTTAGATTGTCGTCTCTTGATACCAATGGACAGCTTTTGTAACTTCTCAAAATTTAAATCAGAAATGTTCACACTTGTTGCCTAAACACTATTCCAATAATAGCAGGCTGTTTTAGAATCTAGTGATAATTTTATTTAAAAAACCCTTTACAATTCATTAAGATTGGTGCCAAAACTGACACTGGGAGCAGTGGGTTTGCCAAAGCAGGATTATCCCATTCTCCCTCTGAACAAAAACCAACAAACAACAATGGCAGAGAAGCACGCCTTTCAGGATGCCAAGTCAAGGACATTTAAACAGCTGATCTCAATATTCTGCTGCAAGACAAAATGAGCAAACCTGTCCTTAGTGTACAGAAAGCTACATTAATATTTCATGGTAGCTTTTCTTTATTACTGGTATTGAAAATAAGTCATGAACATAAAAGCAGCAAGAGAAATAGTCGGACTAACTTGCAGTTATTTCCTGTCCCTTGCCCCATCCTTCCCTCTCCCTCCCTTCTGAGTTCTCCATGGATACAGAAACCAAAGCGTATGCAGTGTGAGAATGTAAATCAAATCATACATTTAAAATGGATTTTAATTTATGCACAGCAGTTACCGTTCATGAGTGGTACACAGTCCCTGCAATTACATTCTAAGTCTTCACTTTTCTCTACTGAATCTTCTGATGGAGAAACAGAAAGGAGGAGTGGAAACAAGGAGTAAGGAATGATCAAAGTCATTAAAAATTCTGGGAATCCAAGTAGTAAACCTCAGAGTCTTCTACGAAGTTCCAGAAAGAAACGGTGGCAACGTATATATATTGCAATTTTATTTCATTCGCTCAAACAAAACGTTAGCATGTAAGAAATTTAAAATGACACAGTATGATAAAAATAGCAGAGAATGAACTGAGAAACTAAAAAGAAGGTAAACCTAAATGCATGAAAAGTCAACATTCATTAGTGATCATCACTTGATGCTCGATAACTTTTTAAAACAATGAACTGGAAATCATTACGACTATCTGAAGAGATTTCAGCACCAGCACTAAGATTTTTACATTCAGTTGGTTTGCAGTTGACTTGGTAGCCACTTGTCTATAGTGCAGGTTTATCACAGGTCAGATCACAGTGTTGAGGAAAGCAACGCCTCCCTAGCATTAGAAAGGATCCCTTAAGCTGCCCTCAGCTTAAGACATCCGTTGTACAAAAGCACAGAACCACCACAACATGGTTTTTAAAGAACTTAGTTGCCAGTAAGCAAAATAATCTTAGCTTCTGCAGTTCATTTTCAATACTGAAATCTCTGGAAATGGTGCAACTGTCAGTAGGACAGGAAATGTCTACAGTAACCTTTAATTCAACCCAATTTTCTGGGAAGAACCAATTCGGCAATTTGGGATTACAGAAAGTATGGACGTAGAAGCAGCACAAAAGACGACATCTGTTCCTCTTTCTTTTAAACAGAAATCATGTTAATTGTAGACCAAGGCACAAAACGTTTAGTGCATAAGCCAGTTCCTTTGCACAATCTAGTAGTTCAGCCTTTAATTTTGGACCACTTATACCCATTCATGCTGTTCCTCTATGCTACTCCTGAACTCTCCTAGAAACAAATCAAACATGACTTCTGACAAGGGTAAACTTCGTTAATGCTCAAAAAGTCTGTGTAGAACAAAAACTTACATCAACAAAGATGAAAATGCCTCCTCTTGTTTTGAGAAAAACAGTACTTGACAAGCTTACTACAGATTTTTTTTTTTTAATGCCTTCAATAAATGCATGCAGAAAAATGTTTTCATTTTTCTTTTTAAAAAAAGGATTAATAAATGGAGTTAGGCAATATTTCCACTGTAGTCTTTTCTTAGAATTTGAACCTATAGAAACAGGAAAAATTTGAACTGGGGAAAATTTTCCCACTGAAGTCGTTCCAAAGCGCTAAGTGCTCTTTTGAGTTGGTGTCTAGCACTTTAGACAGTATGCTACTGAAAGCATTTATCCTATGAATGGAGCTGCATATACTTTCAAGCTGAAACATTAATCTCTTCAAAGGTGGGAAGTAAACTTTTCTTTTGGATCAGCACAGATCCCAAAGGAAACACGGCACTGGTACAGCTCAGAGAAATTGCCAGCACAAAGGGAAAGGGAAGATTATGATCCATGTTTTTTGTCCAAAACGCTACAGATCCAATTCACAGAATTTCTATTCCACTGAACTGTACCACACTGAAAAAAAAAAAAAAATTTAAAAAAATTAAAATTTACAGCATAAAATCTGAAAACCCTGGGAAACAGAAAGGTATCTCCTTTAAAAACAATTCTCAAATTGTTGACTAAAACAAATGGCATATCATCGCTGTTTTTCAGGGTTTAGGTTGTGTGTAGCTGTAGGGTTTTTTTGTCAGTTTTCAGTTTTTTGGGAGGAGAGTGGCAGATAAGTTAGGAGGAGAGGGGGACCTGATGCTCCATCTTTCTAAGGTAACTAACTGCTGCCTTGTTTCATTAAACAATCAAAAAAGAAGTCTCAGAAAAGAGTGAAGCAGAGGGTCATGGTAAAAAGGTAAGGACAACGCACTTACACAGGGGCATCCCCAGTCATTCAGATGCCTACACGTTTCTTCTCTCACTGAGAAATGAGTTAGGTTCACATTGGAGTTTCAGAACCATTATGGAAGTATTACTGAATTTCAAATAGAAAAACTGAAAAAAGATACAAAAGGATCAAGTACCTGGTTCCATTAACATGGTTACTGATAAAAGTCACGTTTTCCTCATTACACATGCATGTAAGATGAAGAAAATGTGTAGAAAGTAATAAAAATGTGTCACCTTCCCCCTCCCCCTCATCCCGCATCCTCCTGGGCATAAATTAAGCCTTACAAATGAAAAGGCTACTCTGTGACATGCAATTTTTCTTTAATTAAAAAGCTGGCTGTGTTGTGTTACATTACAAAAATGTCCACATGCATAAATCTAAAAAAAGCCCCAAAAATCTACTGTAAATCTACAACATACTAATGATTTACATTTGACTGCTGATTCGCATTATGTAGAAGTCATAGATTTGGTAAAGCATCGTAACAATGTAGGAAGGCATCTACATCTTTAAACTCTGGACTGTATTTGCTTTTTTTATTTTCCTATAAAATTGCATGAAGGCTAACTAGAGAGGCTTCCTATCATAAAATTCCAAAATCTTGATATTTCATCACTGTCTAGGTCACCCTCTTACAAATATTGCCCTTTAAAAGCACACATTTCTAACTGTTCCATGTTTTGTGAACTGAACTTCTACACATCTGATCTTTTAAATTATTCATGGAAATATCAGATATGATAGGAAGACAAACCTGAGATACATTTGAAGTACAACAGTATAACTTGCTAACTCCTTCATTAATAAAGAAAACCTCTCTGAAAAGCCTTCCCAAGCTTTTCCCTGTTTTTTGTCTTAACAAATTCTGAAACATGTGCAATTTTATCTTGACATGAGTAGACTTCAAAGCACTGTGATCTTGTCTGATAGGTGTAGGAATTTCTGCATAACCATTACAGTAACTTTAAGAGTCTTTTCCACCCCGCTGTAAAGGTCAGAAAAAAAGCTGCAAACTAGGAGGGGAATAGCATGTCATCAGAGTGATGTGTCTGAAGCTTTTCAGAATAGGTTGTTTCTCCCTCCTTCCAAGTGTCTGTCTGTCTCCATTTTCTTCAAACAGCTCACAAAATGTAGTCAGTTTTACACCAAGTTAAAGAGTCACATCAGCTTAGTACTAGTCTTTCTATGCAGTATTTGACTTGCTGAGTTCCTGTCTGATAGCTAGAAAGAGAAAGAGAGAAAAGTTAACAAATCAAATAGTCAGAGCCAAGGCAGAAAGCCTTGTATATACACAACTGACCTTTTAAAGAAAGCCCACCCTACTCCCACAGTCTTAAAACATGAGGAATGTATATGTAAGACAGCTTCCTGTGGCTTCAGACAAGTTTCATTCTCAACCAGGCAGTGCTTTTTCCTCCTGTGGAATTTTTGTTAACTTCTTATTTTTCACTTTTACACCTCCAGCAACTTTATGACCTTACCTGATGACAATCCCCTGCAATTATCAAGGAGTCAGTATCAATGGACTCATTTAATGTTTTTTTTTGGGGGAGGGAAGGTTCTTTTAAGAGCAGCCTCAGGGCTCTCCCTTGTTTGCATCATACTGTTCTAAAAGGCTGCAGTACACAGCACTGTCAAAATACAGGGAAAAGCATGGCATTCTCTGTAGCCCAAATCCAGCCAACTCCTTCTATGACATCAGTTGATGACATTTTATATTTTATCAGCAGTAGTATCAGTTTAATATCAACATTCTTCCCCCTCCCTGATCTCCCACTTCCCCTCCTTTACTTTGGTACTTTCCACATAGAAGAAAAAAAAAAGAAAACAAAACAAAAAAAACCCAACCAACCAAACAAAAGAAAAAACACAAACAAAACAAAACAAAAAAACCAAAACCAACCAAACAAAGGCACACCAAGGCAATAAATGAATTTTCTTTACTTCTTGACTGATGTACCTTTAGGTTTATGTGTTCTCAATTATTTCCTTCAGCAACAGAAGGCTACTTAGGAAGATACTTTCCATTAAAATAAAAATGAAAATTGTGAGAATTCTTTGACTCTTATGTTACAAACAAAATAGAAAAAAAATGAGAAGTGGAGATACAATCCTAGTCTGAATAACAGCAGTTTTGAAATATGCACCTCAACAGCTCTGGATTATTTAAAAATAACCCGCCTACCACCACACAATACTAAGGGTGACTACAAATCACTCAAATACAGCATCCTTCCAACCACTTTTAAAAGACACTTTGACACTTGGTGTCTGTGTTCTATTAAAACAAATCACACGAGAAAAAACACTGAAGCATGTCAAGCAGAACAGGTCTGGCACAAATGAAAATATGCCACCAGACTAAGAACAAAGCTGCTTTTACCAATATATCACTCTTGGGCTAGGAACATGTATTTATATTGTTGTGCACCTGTAGCTACTTACTCTAAGATTGAACAGCAGCAGCAAACTCTGATACCTACCATCAATGAGTTCTTCCTTTAATTTCGTTAACTCCTTCCTCATTTCATCTAAAATGTCCTGTGGTGTCAGAGCATAAATAATAGATTAGCTTTGCAACACAAACAGATCAGTTTTGCCACCTGTAATTTTTGGCAGACAGAAATCTGAAATTCTTCTAGCCTTAAATCAACTTTTTACCCTTCTGAAATGCATAACCCACCCTTTAGCTTCCAAGGTAATCCCCCAAACCTAAAGCATCCCTGAAATTTTCCTACTGCAGGTACAAGGAAACAAAAAAGCCTTCTGCAGAAGTCCTACAATTTGACTCCTGTGGCACTTATGAGAGAAGGGAGATACCAAAGTTAGAATATTGCACTAATGTAATTGATAAAAAAAAGTATTATAGAAAGAAAAATATTTGGCACATGCCTTTAAAATAAGAAAGCTTTCCTTCAGATGAAACGTGATGTGGAATGCAAAAAAATTAGCTAACTAAAAGCTTCAAGTCAAGGAAATATTCAAAGAAAAAAGGGAAATCAAGTTATCAAGGTGTTCCAGTCACCAAGTGGAATGTGAAGGAATGAAGGGAACAAGAGTGAAATGTCATCCCCTGCTTACTGTTTTCTCCATCCTTTAAGTGATGTTAACTGATGATTTGGTGACCATCTTTTGGCAGGCAGAGTGGGGGGTAGTGTCTGTTTCTACAGAGGTGACTGTCAGGTCCTGGCCAAATCTGTAGTCAGCATGGAACTCACCCAGATGATCTCAGTTGCTTCTTTTTCAGCTTTGGGGTGAGCATGCTGTTCACAACTGAGCGTGCAATTACTCTACTCTAGACTTGTAGAGTCCTTTATGAGCTGATGGTGCAAGACACATGCATGGACAAACCTTCCCTGCATGAAGTCGCTCCTGGTGCAAGAGCATGTACCAAAGCTGCATAGGTAAGGTCTCCCAGTTCGTCAAGTTTTAGACAAGACTCTTTGACAAATGGCAAGAAACCCTGGAGCAGGGGTGTAGTCACAAGTTGCTGAGAAAAACAGTGGCTAGTAACATCTTCTCATGTGTTCAGTAGAAATACTGAGTGTGAGACAATTTTGCCCCAGAGAAAAAAAACTTAGCAGGAGGCAGCGAGAGTCAATGTGCTGGAAACCTAGGAGAGCTGTGCCTTATGGGATGACAGGATCCCCATCCTCTGTGCCTTCAACTCAAAAGAACCACAGAGATGAAAAAAAGCAACCAGACTTATCAGCAACAGCCTTTCATGGAAGCTGTTGCAGAAGTAGCACAAATCCTCTTGAGATTACAAAACAGGAGTACCAGATTCCAGAATAACCCCCTACATGCTCCAGAACCAACCATGGTGCCAGAACCCAACCTAGAACCAACCACAGACCACTGAGCTGGAAACCACTCTAGAACCCATGGCTGAACTAGAGCCTGCTCCAGAACCTCCTTCCCCACTCAGGGACTAGCCCAGTAATCCAAATGCCACTTGAGGAAGATCCTTCACTTCCAACTCCACTATTTACACTCCTCTAAATACCACTGCTGCCAACACCATCACCATGACCCTGCAAACCACACCACCTCAAACCCACCACATCTGGAAACAACCATCACTTTACAGACTCATGAATGTAGAGCCCCTTGGCCACAGCAACCACATCACTCCTCTTTTCAAGGGCAGGGATCCAACTTCAGTAGATCCTCACCTGTAGAATAGGCAGATCACATCTACAATACACTGCAAGTTCATGGTCCCTGCTAGGAAAGTAACTAGAACCATCTCACCATGCTCCCCAAGGAAAGGGGCCTCCAACAGCTCAGCATGGATGACTGTGGCCAAAACCCAGTATCAGTGTATCACACAACTCAGACTGGCACCGAGAAAGCACAGTACTTTGACCAAGCATCACTCAGCAAGCCACCAGCAGGCCACCTACCCCATGTCGGCCTCACAGTTCCCAAAGACCCGAAAGATTACTAGACACACCATGAAGTACAACAGGGCAAAAATACACAGTAGCCTACGCACATATGGACAACTCCAAACACCTTACACAAGTCTGCTTGAGTCAGCATTGGTTCAATGTCTCAGGCAACAACTGCTCTCAAAAGGACATCTCCACAGAAAGCACCTACCAGCAGCAAAGGTGACCATCTTATGGCCTCCTCAACAACGGTGAGGAGTCAGAGGAACACAAATATCATACATTCACTTGCTCCTCTGGGAGCTCCTAATCTTGGGAACATGGAACATCTGCTCAGTCTACAGATCATTAGTGCTCTTAACTGATATCTCCTCTCTTTGCACAAGTCACAAGAGATCCCTTGCCGAGCTTCTGGTTGCCCAGGTTTGTCTGTTTGGCAAGTGTACTTGATGAGGGCCTGTCACCTACAGGTAACTGTTGTTAAACAATTTCAAAAGCATCCCATAACATCTTATCCTCACCTAAAAGCAGCCAACAGTCACATTCCTCCCACAAGACCCTCCTTTGCTCTTAGGAGAACTACACAAAAGGTGGTATCGCTGGATGCTCTTTCACCACCAAACTCACATCTGATATTAAAATATGGTAATGCTTGTTCTGCTAGAACTGCTCTGAGAGCTTGTTGTTTGGGTAGAGAGAAGGAAAGCTTTTCCAGGCAGTGCAGTTTCCCAGTTCCATCCACAGTATCAACACCATTTTGTGTGTGCTAACGCACAACCAGGAACAATCACCTGTGATAAAGTACTGGGGCTGTGTAAGCCACCACCCTGCAGTTACAGCTCCTAAGAATACTGAAACACATGTAGGGAAAAATTTGGAACTAATTAATTAAACAGTTAAAAACTAGTATTGGACAGTTACAAGTCCTTACACTCAAGTGTTTTATTCAAAGCATTATATACCTACCTGTTTCAATCTGTCGTAATCTAGACCTTCTGACTGTACTCCATTGGCACTGGGTTGCCCTGTTGGTGTAGATTTTGGTCTGCAGTACAAAAGAAAATATCTATGAATTACTGGTCACTCATTATTACAAGATACATAGGACTTCTCATCAAACTTGCCAAAATCTGTCTATTGAAAACAGTGAAGAATCAGAATGAAAAAAAATATATTTGGAGTGGGAGGATGAGAAAAATCAGGCAGATCCCAAATACCACACAGAACAAAAAGTAACAAACCAAGAATATTTTCCACGCGCTGGAAATATTAATTACTATAAGAATAAGAGTTATTAGTTCGAAGCAAGACCTTTTCAAGTAGCAGACAGATTTCACTGCCTGTGGTTTCTGATTTTTTCCACAAACGAGCACGGAAAGCTGAATACCTTAAAATGTCAAACATTTTCCCTTCTCCTTTTTCAAATGCTTACTCTTTTTAAAACAGGCCCTCTCAGAGAAGCACTCTCACTAACTGATGACTACATGTCGATGCTATATGAATGTTGTGGAATCACCCTGGCAGATTTTCAATATTTGACAGGACATGGTTGAGCAACCTTATCTTATTAATAACCCTTCCAACCTGAATTATTCCATCAATTGCTTTTTAAAGCTACTGAAAGCAAACACTGTGACAGCATCAAGATTTATAAGATAAATATAAATAAGATATAAGATAAATATACTTGAGAGAAAGTTCTAATGTTTTGGACTATGCTATGTTCAGTGTTTCTTTATGTAATACTCTCTTAAGAGAGTAAAAACTTGCTGACTAAGATCATCTTGCATTTTTAACACACATTTCAGAAGAAGCAGGTTTTCCACTTTTTCTTCTCTTTTCTGATCCCCTCTGTTCATACATGGTGCAACTCAGACTCATGTACTTACTACGCTTCCACAGAGCCTTGCATAACTACAGCTATGAGCAGAGACAGAACCTAATGCTAACAGCAGGAAAACTGTACTCTGGAATGGATGGGTGGGTGGGTGCTGTGGGACAGAGGGAGGAATGTTCTGCTGTTCTTAATTACATTTTATGACTCAGCTAGCACTCTCTCTCCATTAATCTATAAAATGTTGAGCCAAAAAGAAGCTGTTGATAAAATTTCTGACAGTTTATGTCAGGAGGTTTCCCCATTGCTTATGATTATCACAGTATGCTAGCTGCATTTTTCTGGATTCGTTACCTGAAGGTGCAGCCTCATTTATTATGAAGGCAGGCAGCCAGGAACAAAAAAAAAAGCCAAACCAGCAAGAAAGGCATAGTTCTGCACTTTATCTTCTTTAAAATACACAGCGTAAAACTATCTTTTCTCAGAATAAAGCAGAATGTGAGGGACACATGCAGTATATCCATTGCTTTAGTTTTCCATTTCTGTATTTTAATTTAGCTAAGAAAAAAAGCTGTTTTCTCAGAAGCAAAAGAATAGTGAACTTATAATTTTTTGTTGTTAGTGATTTTGTAAAAAACTATATTCAGTTTTCATTCCTCTTCCCTTATGAGTCAGTTTGTCCATGAAGAAATTGTTTGATTACACTGTCTTTGTTCAGTATGAGCTGAACGAGCCTCATACTGGATTGCCTTGGTGACTTTTATAACCTGACAGGACTATTTTCTATATTTGCTAACTGAAGGAAAATACTCAAAATGCAACTCCCAAAAGAAAAGAGCATGCACACCAAAACATCATTTTGATACTACAGAAATTTCTCAGGTTTGTGCTCTTCAGATACTTTTACCTCTCAGAGGTTCCCCAGCATAAAAAAATGTTAATAACCAACATGGAGAGTTGCCTATTTTTCCTCCCCCTAACCTCTGAAAGGTTACGCCTGTGTCATTGAAGAGCCTGGCACATTAGAATATACTAATTAAAACCTTCCTACACATTCATAGCTGCCAAGCAACTCTGGTGACAGAACATTTTAAATTGGTACACTCAAGCTCATTCATCTTTTCAAAAGGCAGTAACTCCAGCGTAGGCGGTAGGAACCTCTCAGCAATTTTTTTAATGCTCCATGATTATTTCTGAGCACTGACAAGTTAGTTATGTCAAGTCTAGTGGCACCCATTTAAGGAAAAAACCTGTCAGCTGTTACCATATAAAACAAAGTCAGCAGAAGGGATTGTATTAACTATCTTTGCTGCAGGACTTTGCATCAAAGCAGAGAGGTGCAGGAACATCCTGTGTTGTTACATCAGCTCAGTTCTTCACTTGACATCAAAATACTCAATTATATAGTTGTTTAAACTTCTGTAGACTTACATCTAGACAAGTTCCAAGAGAGAAATTACTAACATTATCATTGCTTGAAACACACTGAAATGAAATACATGATCCACCAAATAAGACAGAACAAAAAATATTCAATAACTCGATAGTGGAAGAAGGTGGAATATAGAAATCACCTTGCAATCACCAGAAAATCTACAGTGTGTGCTCATGCTATGAAGACAAACCACAGTTTAGGATCTTTTACAAAACTATGTATCAGCAGTGCTTAGTTCATTATGAAAGAACCTCTTGCTCAAAACCATTCCTCAAGATGAGATCTTTGGCAATTGCTTGTTCATCACGTCTGATATTTAAAGCATTACTCGCAGTTTAAACCTCAAACTGTGAATGCTGACTTAACTCCAAGCAGACTAGTGTGAGTTTTTCACATTCTCCAAATATAGTTTCTGATCATTTCCTTTGACTATCACTTTGTTCCCATACACTATGGTATTACATCATTTACTCAACAGGACTCAAAAAAAGAAGCAGCGTCCTCTCAAATACAATTCCTGGCAATTGGTAACAGGCACCTACTACATGCCTTAATGGAATAATTCAAACTAGAATATACTTTAATATTTTAACAAAACTTCCCCCAAAACTATCTAATTTTTCCTTCCTCAGCTTGCTCAGAAGAAAGATTAATGATGAATGCAGTTGCCATTAAGAAAAATATTCACTACTGGAATTTAGTGAATAAAACATCCCAACCATTTGATCCTAAGATGGCTAAAGAGCTCTCCCGTGTGGTTTTTCATAGCATTGCCTAACAGGACAGTGAGGCAACCTTAGTGGTGCCTACAAAACCTTAAATCAAGCATGCAAGATAAAGATTTTATTCATGCCAACATGCAGAATACACCACTCAAGATAAGTAGCTAAAAGGGGAACTTTTCATACAAAAGATTAAGTAGTCACCACAGCAAGTGCCTTCATGAAAAACGAAGCTGGAATTTAACTCAGTAATTCTGAGTGGCTCTGTAACATGTTTACCTGTGTGGAAAGCTTTTAAAACATCAAGGCTTTCAATGTCAGTATTTCATGACTACCACTACAGAGAGTGAAACTGAGATCCGCAGCTTAAAATACACATAATGTTCATGCTAACTTGTGAATGTGTTCCCGACAGAATTTTCGTGTTGCTTTCTGATGTTTAAGTCAGGCAAAACCTACTTGTTATCTTTACTTAACTTGCAAAAAGCAGCTGTGAAAACTGACCTGGAGAATTAATTGTTGTTCCTGTGTGCCAAAAAATCATTATTTAATATGAATTCATAGTTGTTCTTCTTCAAGCTAGCTTGCCATCCCAATTTGCCTTTAACACCATCTGTTTTTAACCAGTCCAAAACCAGCTCAACTGGACAAAAAAAAAAAAAAAAAATGTGAAGAGGAATGTGGTGGTACGTGTGGTGATTACCAATCCGTGTAGAAAAAGTCCAACCCTGAACTGATCAAAATGGTTATTACAAAGTCTGAAATCCCAACAGGATGATACCTGTTTAATGAATCATAGAACCTGTTTTCAGAAGCAAGCAGATTTTTCCACGGAGATTCCCGTCTACGAAGGGGAGAAACACTACCTTAAGAAGCTATAATAGGTCTTAATTTTGCTCAGTTTTAGCACCTTATATAGCATGGAGTTGCACTAGCTGTGTTCCAATAGTCTGAATGTCTCAGGAAATACTAAAAGCACATAGCTTAATTCTTCTCAAAGTCTGCTGAAAAAAAAGGCGCCGATTTTAAAAAAGACACTTGTTATTTTAAAATATTTAGAACATCGATTCTGAATAACAATTCCTTCATTGTCTATCTGTTTGGAAGTTCTGAAGAGAAACTTTTGCCTGCTTGCCAGTTTCTTAGGTATGCTTTGTTCAATTCCTGTAAATGACTCCTGTCTTCTCTGTAGAGGACAGAAGCAGGTTCACAGGCCTTACCAGGTGAAAGATAGCCTCTTTTGGAAAACATGGTGTTAGTGTTTCAAACAGCAGCACTCTTTGGCTAACTGACTCAAAGGGAGTTACTCTAACAAGCTGCTTGTTGAGATAGACTTGGCAACTGCAGAGAATTAAGAAAACTTCAAGGACATTGGAGAGGCTTCTATTAAAACCTTTTCTTTCCTGATCCATGGAATATTCCCCATACTGGCAGGTCAAACAGTCAACATTGACTAGAAAACTGTACCAGCAGCCTTAAAAATATATGCTATGGCACCTTCCAGCCAGGTTATGACAGCACTGGAAAATAATACTGACACTCAAAAAGCATGGAATTCTTATTTTGCAAGCACTTTTAGAGTATACACCCAGGGAGGCTCTCATCAAGCTGAATTCTATCAACGTTTTCCATTGGATGACTGAAGACAAAATCCTGATGAGTTTTTCTCAGTATGTCAAGAAGTCTCAAAACTCCTCTGTACTCCTGAGCTCCTCTAGGTCAGAAAATATATTTAAACAGACCTCAATAACCTCTCAATTTCACCAAAAACAAGAGAAATGAAACAGGATGCATAAAAGACTTTACAAGAAACTACCTCTGTAGGGACAGGTAGAATGAAGACTTAAGGACATTCCAGACTCCCCAGAGGAGTCTGATATGAAGAACTGCCCTATTTATTAATCTCTTCACTTTCCTTTCTTCAGATGCTTATCCATAGGGTATCTATAGAAAATGAGCCAGGTCAGCAACTGTCTTAAACAATATGAAAACTAAAATGCTCTTTAGGATACCTTACATAAATTACTTCTATGACAAGTTCCCCCCTTTGCTTGAAAACAAGACACCTCAGTTAAAGCAGGTAAGACCTACTGGTGGGTGGTGTAAGAACATAGGGGGAAGTCAAGGCTAAAGGTAAAGCAGTATTTTGTTACACTGACAGTATCACAGAGAGGACATCATCACCAATGTCACCTGCTTTTTGGGAAAAAACAAGCAGCCAGAATCAAGACTGCAGATATTTTAAGCTCCTGGACTTATTTCTGAAAGACAGACAAGGATACTGATATAGGCTGAGAGTGTTTAGTGCTGTATATTAGAACTGAAGACTGTGATGGTAAGCTCAATCACAACTAATACTACTTAGAGAAGAACTGGTCTTTCTTCTCTGATCACCAGATCTTCAATAGCTGGCTCCAACAGGCCCAAATTTTAAGAATTCAAGTAATTTCAAACACAGCATTCTGAAGTTTATCATGTTATTTTGTTTTCTCTCAAGAAATTCAGGTAACTTTGTCCCATTACCTCAGGTCAGAATCCTTTAACCTCTGTATGAAGAGTATACAGGAATTCTAAAATTAACCTTAAGGTAAATGGTATTTAAATATACCACCAAAATAAAAAAAAAATTGCTAAAGTAGCCATTCTACTCGTTTGCATTACTGAAATGCCTACCACACCTACTGTCTAGCAAAGTTCTAGCTGACAAGTTATGAAAGGCTGGTTAATACACTGAAGGATGTATATTTCTACACTTCTTTAGGATGGAATTCCTTGGATGGGTGTTAAGACAGCTACTGAAAATTGCCACAGAATCAAATCTTACCAAGATGACTTAAAGAGCTAGATAATCATTTTAGGACTAGTACAGAAATAGAAGAGTGAAAACCTATTCACTAGATTTACTACTGAATATATACATCACAGTACTGAATTTGGTTTTCCCTTGCAGAAAATTTCAGATTTGAAAATTTAAAGGAATAGAAAGAATTAAACATTACTGGATAGGCAAACATGTAACACTTAACTGGAATTGTACACCAATTGTTAAGGAATCTTTTTGGGCTTTACTTTTTACTTTACTGTCAAAAAATTCACTTACTAGCACTCTCCAAAAGCAACTTTTCTTACCTAACTAAAACTACCAAAAGCAGTCTCACAGAAGTTATTATAAACCTATATATTTTGCTTTATTATTAAGGTGGTTTTGCTATTTTAATCCAGTATCTTCAGCAGCATGAGAAACAACAACAAACGTAAGGAAAAGATAGCTGCTACAAAAGGGGATACCTGGAGATAACAGGCGACTTGCTTCCATTCACTGTATTTGTTCTTTCCCAAGGCTTTCTTGTTAGTTCTGAAAAAAATTGTGAGAAGATTAAAACCTGACTTTTTCTATTCATTGCATAATACATGTGAGGAAACTTCAAGTACCTAACAATTTAAGTCAGATGGGTTTTGTTTTTGTTTGTTTTGGGTTTTGTTTGAGTGTCTTGTTTTGTTTTAGTGAAGTTTGGTTTGGTTTTTTTACTATATTGCATTAGTTTTTCATATTAAGCTACCTCCTGTTATATTCATCTTCACTTTTAGTCATATTATCATTATCTTTGTGATAGCATCTTTAAGTCCCACTTCTAGACATTGTAAATGCCATTTGATTCTTAATCCAGCTGGGAGGAAGTCTGCCTACACTTCTATACATCTCATTGCTTCAGTTGTGAAACATGGAATTCTGGACCCATAACCAAAGTCAGCTTCAAATACTGGGGGGAAAGTGTTTTTAAGCTAAAGTATTTTTCCAGCACTGTTAATGAACTATATAAAATTAATTCAGTGTCAATTTCAATGAAGCAACCAGCAGGGATGATACAATCCTACACAACAAGAATACCTTTCAGCAAGAAGGCATTTATTTTCCTAAGTCTTGTCCCCAAAAAAGATACTTCTGAGGATTAAATATATAATTTCCCCCTTTCAAAATAATACAGACTTGAAACTGATGTTACATTGCTCTGGGATCCAGAAGAGATTGTAGTTTACTTACTACCTGTGATAGCAGACAAAGTTTCATTATGCATCTCTTCTCCTGTCTGGGCAGCTTATATTCTATGGGCAAGCACTACGTTATACACTGGAGAAGAGGACTTTTGTGCCTGGTGCATATAGGCATGAGTCTAATTTGTAGTCAAGATTAAGAAGCCCAACCTATCTTTATACACGCTCATGCTTCATTCTCCATTACGGAGCCTGATTTCAGCTGTGTTTAGAATTCTCTCCAATCAACTTCGACTTGCTATCCTGAGTTTATTACAGTGATGATCTGAAGTCATGTGTGAAATCTAGCTTTATTGTGCAGGTCTGTTTGTCAACAGCAGACAGAAAACACAGCCCAAACACAAAACATTTCAGTTAAGGGCTGTTTATTTGGTGTTCTTGCACAGTGACTAAGATTTCCCACATCCCCTTTAGTTGTCTAGCCTAAGCCCCTCCCTCAGGATATACCTATCATCAAAAATGCTTCATTCCCTATAGATCAGGTTTTCACTCCTTAAAATTTGCACAAGTTACAACAGTCTTTCTGTACTGTGAATTGTTATTATTTACTTGCTATAATTAATCAGGATTTTAATATGCCACTGATGTTACCAGTCTGTACTTCAGATTTGGAGTTTGTTTTGTTCCCCTTCTTTTCTATTGCTCATCTCTGCTAAGGTGGGCAAGCTGAGAGGCAGAAATGCCCTTTCAGAGTCTCATATTGATCAGTAAGTTTTCTGGGATGCTGCCAGATACTGACAAGAATGTCTGAATCACAGCAGTTTGCTAGCATAGCCTGTGACCCAGGCAACTAGAGGTTGCCAGTGCTAGTAATAAGTCTTAAGCTAAATTTGATAGATCAGGCTTCAGGATTTGTCCTGCCGTAACAGTTATTTTAGCTGTACCTGCAAAATTGAGAAATATTGTTATGGCTGCAGATTGCTCAAGGACCATGAACAGAAACATCATCCAAGGGTCATACATCTGTTGACTATTGCATGGGTTTTATCTTTTTTTTTAAAATATTATTACCTAACACGTTTTAATCAGATTTTAGTTAGCTTTATGTAGCTGTGTTTCTTCTCCTAAAAGGAATATAGCATATACAGAAAAGGACTAACATGTGTAAGTAATCATGGTGTAGCCCTCTCTGTAAGCAACAGAGCAGAGAGAACAGCCCCTTAACAGAGTGGAAACGTATCAAAATAAATGCAAGGAAACCCAAGCTCTGGACAGAAGAAATGTTTCTACCTTAAACATCATGTCCTCCTGACAAAGAATGCAGAACTCTGATAGCTCACCACAACGCCAAAGAGGTAGATGCTAGCAAGTCTGTGTGTAACAATTTCAGTTATATTCATGGTAATTAGACATAATTACACAAATTTTTTTGACCTGGCTTCTGCTCAGTAGGCCAAACATGACTTTTAAACATTTTAAAGACATGTTCCAATAATAAGGTACAGCATTACCAGAATATTTTACATCATCAAGAAATGAAGTGAAATCTCTCCGTGGAAGGAAATGGTCAAAACTCTGGATGCATTTGACATTTTCAAAAAGTTTGATGAGGCTTCTTATCATGACAACCAATTAGATGAACCTCTTCAGTTGCACTGTTTTGACTTCCCTCTTTGGGGCCTGTATTATTAGAAGTGTTCCAAAAGCGGGCATTTCCCCAAGGCTAATATCATCTCTGTGTTCAACAGAATGAAGCAATCTCCTAAGCTAAGGGGATCATGAGGGGAATAGAAACCAAAGCTTGATTTGTATGACGTAATTTCTTGCCTTGCAACTGAACTTCTTTATGCTACCGTCTGTACCAACACTAACACTTCTCCAGTTTTTTCACCCAGACACGCTTAGCTCCTAGTTCTTTTTTCCCCACAGCCAGTGGCCACCTGGGTTTTGTTCACACTACAGCAATGCGTTTTGATATTAATGCTGCACACCATCAAGTGGCTGAAACATCTAGTGACTAAGTATACATACGTGCAAGCAACCAACAGAGAAAGCCAGAACATACTGGAGACTGGTATATGTATTGCCCAGTCATTCTCCTTCTGCTTCCAGTATCTTTGGGATAACAAACTGCAGGTTATATGCCACATCCTCCCCTCTTTGTATGTACATGGGAAGAGGTAGCCAGGGAAGCTAAAGGTACAAAAAGGTACTGCTGAAGGACAGAAAAAGAAAGCCACGAGTGTCACTTGAGTCCTTGTAATGCAGTCATTTACAGTATGAATACGTATGCACGCTGACAATACATCTTGGCCAACTACAGAAGTGGTGAGAGGTAAGCTCTCCTTACTGCCTGCAACAGAAGTTCCAAACTCTGACAGATGCATACCTCAGCGAAAGAATCATAGTTAAAGAATTTCTATCCCATGCACTTACATGGATTTAGAAAGGACATTTGCATGTGAAGGAATATTTGCTAAAGTACCTGGAATCAGCAACCATTTCTGACTCTGATATTGTTGTACATCTGCCTTGAAGGAAACAAACTATTGTCCCAACTCATGCCCTACAATGAATCTTTCACATTTCACCTTGCTTTCACATTCATTACCAACAGCTTCATCATCTCCATAGGTTCGACACAGGAGGACCCTATATACCAAGCACGTTGTTACAGTAGATGTTTCTTTTGATCTGCCATCTTCTGAAACATTTTTGACTCAGGACCTGTTCTAGAGCACAATGCCAGTCTGCAGTCCTGGGAGAAGAGCCAAGCTCCAAAATTCCACACAGCTAGCTGAGATCTGAGATTAGGTTTTAGCATTACAGAGTCATGGAGTTCACAGACCTGTGCTACTTACCAGGTGTGCTTGTTGAAGAAACCTTAGATGTTGAAGACTCTGCTTCTTCCTGATTAAAAGGGAAGGGAGAGGAAGAAGGCAGAGAAGAGGGAAACAAAAATAAACAGCCACCTTTGAATCTTGTGTATCTAATAGATGAATCGCAACTGTTTATTTCCCTTTTATACAGATTTAAATTCCTAACTGTATGTAAAAAATGTGCAATTACTATGCACTTCACAGTGAATGTCTGGAGAGGAGAAGGCTGAGGAGAGACCTTATTTTCTACAACTACCTGAAAGGAGGTTGTAGCAAGGTGGGGGTTGGTCCCTTCTCCCAGGTTACTAGCCATAGGACAAGAGGAAATGGGCTCAAGTTGCACCAGGGGAGGTTTAAATTGGATATTAGGAAGAATTTCTTTCCTGCAAGAGTGGTGAGGCATTGGACCAGGCTGCCCAGGGAGGTGGTGGAGTCACCACCCCTGGAGGGGTTCAAAAAACATGTAGAAGTGGTACTTTGGGACATGGTTTAATGGTCATGGTAGTGTTGGAGGATGGTTGGACTTGATAATCTTAGATGTCTTTTCCAACCTTAATGATTCTATGATTCTATGTATATATATGGTAAATTATAAACCTGTCAGGTATACCATTAGAATCTCTCTCATAATTTAGTATTTAACAATGAGAAGTAGATAAAATTTCTCAACTCACAGTCTTATCATCTTTTTGCTCTTGTTCTGTTGATCCCTTTTCAGCAATTCTTCTCCTATAAGCAGAGACAAAAGTTACCAAGATCATCATGGCTTTAAGATGGAGGAATGTTGTTTAGTGTAATCAAAGACATACACAGCTCGACAGCTAGATAACTGAAAATTAGTGTTTTAAAAAGGACTTTCAAAATACTTCCAAGGACAAAGCTCTCTGCCAAAGCAACCATGCAATTCTTTCTCCTTTTGAAGTCTGTATTCTCTCCCCTACAGCTGCACAAAGACTTACACAGAAGAGAAGTATTCGATTACGCTCAGGTAAAAACGGCTATTCATGAAACGTTATCAGCTTCACAAAGCAAGCACATGAGCAAGCCGGTGTTCATTTGATCCTTAGCCAGCTACAAAGAGGCACCCAAAATCTTACCCCTGGTGGCTGGAGCACAGCAGAAACAGTTCCTTACCTCCTGGCCAGCAGGGCACTCATTTCTTCCATCAGCCCACTGCCTCCCAAGGGAAGGGGTCCATTTCCACGGCCACTGTCTGTTTTAGATGAAGCAGAGCTGCCGCCTCCTCCTCCACTTGAACTGGAGGAATCTTCACCCTTCATGATACACAAAACAACAGATGTGTAAATAAAATGATAGCTGACGTAATGAAAGGAGCAAAGTTCACATATGAGAAAGAAACAACTGTATAAAGAATGTGATGGGCTGAGTAGTATCATCCTGTGACACTTTCTTACTAATGAATTAAGCCTACTACCCCAGAAGTCTTGATACTGCTATTAACCTCAAACAAAAACTACAAGCAGTTCAGAAGGACAGGGCTTGGAGCCAGGAGTCAGAGGAAGAAAGCGGCACTTACCCGTGAGACCTTCCGCAGTTTGGCTCCAGCAAGCGCGGCTGCCAGGCCAGTGAGCGGGCGATTCTCTTCGGACACGTGTCCCCCTGAAAAGCCGGAGGCGGGG